GGACGTTTTTCAGTATTTTGGTACACCATTGTTTAATTTTATTTAAATTTAATCACTGATATCCTTTAAGATGTATTGTTTATTTAACTAATATCAAGCTTGTGAATAACCAATAGTAATATTAAATGATGTTTCGGTCTATTTTAAAACTATTTTTTCGTAAAGAAATTTAAAATTTAATATTACGCCAGTCGACCAACTTTAAAATTCCAGCTCAGTCGTTTTAAAAGCTTGACAAATTCTGTCCTGTGAACCACTCACAATGGTTATACTCTAGGGTTCGTTTTGTCAGTCTTGAGAGAATTATTTGAATATTTTAACGCATTTTTATTCCCTTTAAAATGAAATATTTTTACGTTTTTCGCTGTTATTTATATACACTACAAAAGTCATAGAAATACTTTTACTATTTGCAAATAGAAAAGTAAGTAGTTACCATTTCAATTATAGCCCTGTGACATTCTACAATATAAAATAAATTTTTATTTTTTAGTTTTCGATTTAACTGCAGAAATACCCAACATAATTTTCAATTTATTATTATTTTTTAGTAGTAAAAATTAGTAATATTCGTAAAATAAATTGTTGATACACATATAAAGTTAAAATTACACAAAGTTCTATTTATCGTTTATTTCAGTTATTAAATAAAGGCCTAATTGATGCAATTTGCAAACTCGAGCCAGATTAACCTAATTTATAATCAATGTTATAATTAGCATGCTTGATATCATCGGCATGTACATATACATCGCCAATTAATATACTATCTGCTATTATTTAGTTACCCATTTCACTGAAAAATCATTTAAGCCTAGGAATATCTAGGAAGACCAAATTTGCCTTTGTCCATATCATCAATTATAATAAAACATTTTACACTTCTAAAAAAGGCATCCATTTTTCTCAAAGAGACCTGGTTCAAATTAAAAAAGGTAGAAAAAAGACCGAGACTTTGAGTCTTTTTTCTACCTTTTTTAATTTTATACTTCCTTATGAACTTAAAATAATATCACATTTTTGGTTTGTATAAATGTAGGTATATACAGGGTGTTTTAAAAAACATGTGCCATCTCTGGTGGGGAGATTCCTCACATTCCTCAAATAAGATTTATTTTTCATAACAATATGGGTCAGATTCTGCTTCGTTTTATAGCCACATGGGGGTTAAAGTCTTTTTTTTTTCGATTTATTATAATTTTAACAAAAATGCTTTTATGCTTATTTAATTTACAACTGCATTTAGCTATTCGAAAAGTTAGTATACTCGTAGGGGCAACATATTTTAATGCTTAAAAAGTGTCGACATATTTACCAGGGACCGGACGTACATATTGGTTATAACTGGACTATTTTTCTAAAAAAAACATGTGCACCAAAATGTTATATTTTAAATTAATATATGTAACAGAAAACAGCTATTAGTTTGTGCAACTGTATGACTGATAATAATTAAAAATGAAAGTTTTTGATTTAAAATATTTTATTAATACAAAAGTAAAGTTAAAGATTTGAAGTTAACGCTCGAGTTAATGTCTCCTTTTTGCTGCCAGGGCTAATCTGGACGGGGCCTACTTTGTTTACGCGGAATCCGAACCGCGGTCCTCGGCCATTTTTTTTAGTTTTTAGCAAAGAATATCTTAATACCCTAGAAGTCTCGTCTGGCCTCAAAATCTGACCTGTCGATGGGGCCTCGCTTTGGCGAGCGAGGCCCCAACTTCGTGGAGCCTCGCTATTTTGCTCGGAATTGAACGAATAGACGCGCGGCGTTGCCTTGTTTTGTGTGTACTTTCTTGAATAGTTTTAAATTATAGTTTTAAATTTTATCTATTGCTATAATCAGTCTTTCCGTTCTCCGCACTCCGCAGTTTACATATAATATTATCTTACATAATTCCCGTGTTACAGTTTTGGTTACCGTAGTCCTCCGAAACGGCTTAACCGATTTTGATGAAATTTTATATGTATATTCAGTAGGTCTGAGAATAGGTAGTTATATATTTTTTATACCCTTAAATGATAAGGGTAGTCCACCCCCATTTTTTTATTTTGTGAAAAAACAATATTTTAATTTTTTTTTATTTGGCATTAAAAAATACAAACAACACTAAATTTTCACCGTTCTACTTTCATCCCCTATTTTTTAATAGGGGTTGTTTTTTTAATTTTTTGTTACCATCTCCGAAACGGCTTAACCGATTTTGATAAAATTTTATATGTATATTCAGTACGTCTAAGAATAAGTTGTTATCTATTTTTATACCCTTAACTGATAAGGGTAGCCGAGAGGGTAACCCACCCTCATTTTTTTTTAGTTTTTGAAAAGAAAAAAATGTTTTTTATTTTTTTATTTGGCATTAAGAAATACAAACAACCCTAAATTTTCACCGTTCTGCTATCATCCCCTATTTTTAATAGGGGTTGTTTTTTATTTTTTTTTGTTGCCATCTCCGAAACGGCTTAGCCGATTTTGATGAAATTTTATAAGTATATTGAGTAGGTCTGAAAACAGGTTGTTATATATTTTTTATACCCTTAAGTGATAAGGGTAGCCCACCCCCATTTTTTTATTTAAAAAAAATATTTTTATTTTTTTTATTTGGCATTAAAAAATACAAACAACCCTAAGTTTTCACCGTTCTACCATCATCCCCTATTTTTTAACAGGGGTTGTTTTTTAAGATTTTTTGTTACCATCTCCGAAACGGCTTAACCGATTTTGATAAAATTTTATTTGTATATTCAGTACGTCTAAGAATAGGTTGTTATCTATTCTTATACCCTTAAGTGATAAGGGTAGCCGAGAGGGTAGCCCATCCTCATTTTTTATTTTTGGAAAAAAAATATTTTTTATTTGGCCTTAAAAAATACAAACAACTCTAAATTTTCACCGTTCTACCATCATCCCTTATTTTCTAATAGGGGTTTTTTTTGATACCATCTCCGAAACGGCTTGGCCGATTTGATGACATTTATTATGTATATTGAGTAGGTCTGAAAATAGTTTGTTGTCTATTTTTTATACCCTTAAATGGTAAGGGTAGCCCACCCCATTTTTTATTTTTGATACCATCTCCGAAACGGCTTGGCCGATTTTGATGACATTTTATTATGTATATTGAGTAGGTCTGAAAATAGTTTGTTGTCTATTTTTTATACCCTTAAATGGTAAGGGTAGCCCACCCCCATTTTTTTATTTTTTGAAAAAAAAAATTATTTTAATTTTTATTATTTGGCATTAAAAAATACAAACAACCCTAAATTTTCACCGTTCTACCATCATCCCCTATTTTTTAATAGGGGTTGTTTTTTTAAGTTTTTTGTTACCATCTCCGATTGACCGATTTTGATAAAATTTTATATGTATGTATATTCAGTACGTCTAAGAATAGGTTGTTATCTATTCTTATACCTTTAAGTGATAAGGGTAGCCGAGAGGGTAGCCTACCCTCATTTTTTTTTATTTTTGAAAAAAAAATATTTTTTTTATTTGGCCTTAAAAAAATACAAACAACTCTAAATTTTCACCGTTCTACCATCATCCCTTATTTTTTAATAAGGGTTGTTTTTTTTAAGTTTCTTGTTACCATTTCCGAAACGGTTTTGCCGATTTTGATGAAATTTTATTATGTATATTGAGTAGGTCTGAAAATAGTTTGTTATCTATTTTTTATACCCTTAAGTGATAAGGGTAGCCCATTCCCATTTTTTTATATTTTGAAAAAATATATATTTTTATTTTGCATTAAAAAATACAAAGAACCCAAAATTTTCACCGTTCTACCATCATCCCCTATTTTTTAATAGGGGTTGTTTTTTTATTTTTGTTACCATCCGTGAAACGGCTTTGACCGATTTTGATAAAATTTTATATGTATATTCAGTACGTCTAAGAATAGGTTGTTATCTATTTTTATACCCTTATGTGGTAAGGGTAGCCCACCCTCATTTTATTTTTTTGAAAAGAAAAAATGTTTTTATTTTTTAGTTGGCATTAATAAATACAAATAACCCTAAATTTTCACTGTTCCACCATCATCCCCTATTTTTAATAGGGGTTGTTTTTTTTAATTTTTTGTTACCATTTCCGAGAACGGCTAGACCGATTTTGATAAAATTTTATATGTATATTCAGTAGGTCTGGTTTGGTTTGGTTTGGTCACAACCTATTCCTAGGTTGTTATCTATTTTTTATACCCCTAAGTGATAAGAGTGGCCCACTAACTTTTTTTTTTTTTTTTTTTTAGACAAATTTTTTATTTTAATTGTTTTATAGGGAGTGCTTATTTTTTAGGGGTGCATGTCCAAAATTTTCTTCTGGGTACACACTTTCATCACTTAAGGGACCTCTGTACAAAATTGCATACTCCTAGTCCTAGAACAGTTTTTACATAAAATTATACAAATTTTTACCCTTAGTTTTACCCCCTTAAGGAATGAATTCCAAAAATCGCTCTAATTATTCAATTACGCTACATAATAAACCTCTGTGCAAATCATCATATATAATCATCATCATATTCCTTGAACAGAATTTATTGTTCCAGAACGTTCAACCCTTCATTTCACACCCTTAGAGGGCGAATTTCCAAAAATTGCTTCTTAATGCTAAATTACGTTACATAAGGAACGTCTGCAAAATTCATACTTCTACAACCGATTTTAACAAATTTTTGTACAAATTTTCATCCCTTATTTTTTAGGGGATGCATGCCTAAAATTCGCTTCTAGGTACTCACTTTCATCATTTAAGGGACCTCTGAACAGAATTTCATACTCCTAGTCCTAGAACGGATTTTACATAAAAAATTATACAAATTTTCACCCCTAGTTTTACCCCCTTAAGGAATGAATTCCAAAAATCACTCTAATTATTCAATTACGCTACATACGAAACCTCTGTGCAAATTCTCATATTCCTTGAACAGAATTTATTGTTCCAGAACGTTCAACCCCTCATTTCACACCCTTAGGCCCGGTTGTACCAACGAAGCTCACCGACAGATCAACTGTGAACGACGATCAAAGCAAAAAATGCGTTGTACCAAGCCTGAACGCCGTTCAAATTGCCCGGTTAACTGAACGGTGACATTAGGCGGTTCAAGCGTCGTTCAGGGGTAGACATAACCTTATTATTTGACATATTCCGCTTTTCGTTGTTTTGATTATCGTTTTGTTATTGTTCTTAAGATTTTTCGTAATGGATCCTTTATTAGGTGAATTAACTGACGACGAAGACTTTTTAGAATTAGTGAGACAACATGAACGGCTAAGGAGACCACAAACAGTACGATTTCGACCAAACAATTTCGAAAAATGGAATGACGTGGATTTTTAAAAAATATTTCGACTTGCTAAACCTATTGTGAATTATTTAATAGAGGAAATTTCCGGTTTAATTGCATCTAAAACAAACAAGTAAGTTTAATTATGTATATTTACTGTATCTTATTTAAGCTTTTATTTTTAGAAATCATGCTTTAACACCAGCTGACATGGTATTTATCACATTATGGTTCTTAGCAACAGGATGTTTTCTACAAAGTGTTGGTGATATCAGTGGTGTAGACAAGTCTACTACGAGCCGCGTGATTACAAAAGTAACTAGAGCTATAGCATCTTTAAGCAAGGACTTTATTAAAATGCCAATGGGAGTGGAAGATAGAAATTCAAAGGCACAAGGATTTTATAATATTTGTCGCTTTCCAAGATGCATAGGAGCAGTTGATTGTACGCATGTGAAGATACAATCTCCTGGAGGGGCAAATGCAGAGAATTACCGCAATAGGAAAGGATTTTTTTCATTTAATGTCCAAGCAATTTGTGACAGCGATTTGAAAATATCTAACATTGTGTGTAGATGGCCTGGTTCTACACATGATTCAATGATTTTTAGAAATTCTAGAGTAAAGGCTGAGTTTGAAAATGGAGTATATGGAAATAATTTATTACTAGGGGACAGTGGGTATGGAGTAAAACCATACCTAATAACCCCTTTGGCGAATCCAACAACGAGGGCTGAAAACTTATTTAACGAAGCTCAGATAAGAACAAGAAACCCAATAGAAAGGTGTTTTGGTGTACTAAAAAGAAGATTTCCTATATTAGCGACAGGAATCCGTTTAAATGTTGATAAAGTAGAAGCAATAGTGGTTTCCGCTGCTGTTCTTCATAACATAGCGTGTCATTTTGCAGATTCAACACCATTGGTAACTGATGAAATTGAAGCGGAAATAAACATTGGAAATAATATAGGAGAACATGTTCCAAATGACTTGGGTGGTATAAATAATAGTGTTAGATATAGTTTAATTAATGAATATTTTGAACCACTGTAAATATGTTATTTTACGATATAGAATATATTGCTGAGTATTAATTATTTACATCTAGAACTAATTATTTACGTCTAGAAAATGTTTCAATATTATTTTACTAAAACATTCTTAAAATGTCTTAATGTTTTAAAGTCAAAATAACTTGTTAATTAATTAAATTGTGATTATAATTATCATAAAATAAATTACCATTGCATACTCTTGTATATATTTTGATGTATGTATATAATATTTTTTATTGTATGTATAGGATTATTTTTATATTTTTGATAATTCTGATTATAACTAGATAATGAAATAACAATAATTAATAAATTATATTAAATTAATACAATTCAGTATACTTGTTGTTTGTACTAGATATGTAATATGTAAAAGAAATAAAACGATATAATATGTATGCATATTTTCAAAATTCATATATATTGTGTGTTAAGTGTTTATATCATATTTTTTAATAATTAAATATTTACAGAGTATTTATTGGTCAATTATTTTTTATTAGTTCCTTGCTAAATTTTAAAAATTTAATCCTCTCATCATGCTCCCTTTCTTGCTGCTTCATAAAGGCTTCATGCTTTTCTTGCATTTGAGACATTTTTTAAATTGTGCTGCTCTAGGAAACATTTCTTTTGAAGCTCAGCGAGTTCAATTTTTGAACTACTCCAATCTGTTAATTTTTTTTGTTAAACCCCTTACATACCCTCTAAATATAGATTTCACTTTATATAATAATATAATATAAAAATAAGGTATGATGTACAGATGTATTAGCTAGAACGTCTAAAAAGTAAATGAACGAATCGGTCAGCCGCGAACAGGTATTAAAAAGTCGTATTTTATGGCAACAGAAAGGAAAAAAGGTACCATAATTTATATTTTGGGAGAACCCGCCAATCAATAAAACAAACTTTTAAAAGCATTTACGCCAACTTATATAAAAACTCCAAAAGTTACTGTGAAATTTAATACCAACATAAGAAACTAAATATTGATCGACGTTCTACTGAACGCGAGTTGGTGCAACGCAATCCAAGTTCAACTTTGACCAACAGATCAGTTGAACTCTCGTTCAATTTATTTTGGTACAACCGGGCCTTAGAGGGCGAATTTCCAAAAATTGCTTCTTAGTGCTAAATTACGTTACATAAGGAACGTCTGTAAAATTCATACTTCTACAACCGATTTTAACAAATTTTTGTACAAATTTTCATCCCTTATTTTTCAGGGGATGCTCATTTCACACCCTTAGAGGGCGAATTTCCAAAAATTGCTTCTTAATGCTAAATTACGTTACATAAGGAACGTCTGCAAAATTCATATTTCTAAAACCGATTTTAACCTTTTGTACAAATTTTCATCCCTTATTTCTAGGGGATGAATGTCAAAAATTAGCTTCTAGGTACTCACTTTCGTCACTTAAGGAAACTCTGTACAAAATTTTATACTCCTAGAACTAACATTTTTTGTACAAAATTTCACCCCCCAGTTTCACTACCCTTAGGCTATACATTTCCAAAAATCGCTTATCAATGTTCAAATGCGCCACATCTGTGCAAAAGTTCATACTCCTAGTAGGTACAGATTTTTTTTTGTATAATTACATCCCTTTATCTAATTACACCCCCTTATGGGTCGAATTTTAAAAAATTACTTAGTAGTGCTCATCTTAGAGAACAAATTAATATTCTCCGTATTTACTCCAGTTTCCTAATACTAGCACAGATAACACATAATCATACTAGTTAATTTTTTATTGGAATAGAAGTAATTTTTATTAGAAGGTACAAAAAAATTAAAATCTAAAATTTTATTTTTATAGCTACGTTTTTTTTTCATAGCCTTAGGATGCCTCATGTACTATCGAATATACGAAATATATAATCAATACATATTTCTTTAAATATCGAGAAATAAAATATGTTTGGCAACACCGTACGAAATATCGCCGCGCGTAATCCTCAAAATTTAAAATATTAGCATTTTCAGGCTTCGATTATGTTCAAAAGCGCCACCGTATGACAAATCACTAAAGCTTCCACACGAGAGTTCTTAAAACTATAATATTCTTTGTTTTTAGTTAAAAACATAATTTCTTGATAATATGACAACATAGGTAGTAGATTAAATTTACCCCAGAAAAGATCTAGTGGATCTGAAAATTTAAACAAAAAATAATTTTTTTTAGAAATTTTCAAAGTAAAATAACTCGGTTATTTTAAACTTGGCAAGGGAAAATGGCAAAGGGAAAATATGCTTCTTTTATCGAGATATACCAGACCCGAAAATATTTGCACTTATTTAAGACTCACCCTGCAGAACACAAAAACTCAAGATTATTCCATATTTGGTTACATTCCTCTAATAAAAAAGTGTTTTCGCGTGTGAAGACGATCTGGGGACATACTGTATAATATAAAAAAAATGTTAATAATATTATCGGCATTTCTGCATTGTTTGAATGGATTTTTTTTTCGTCGCATAGTGTCGTAGATCGCGCATTTCAAATTACAAAAATCGCATTTTTCGATGATTGGTGATTCGTTTTTCATCACCTGGCACATTTCACTCACTTTAATCGATTTTAATAATGAAACTGTTCGCTACAAACTGGAATATGTAAAACTTGTTGTAAACCGCCTCGTAAAATTTTATAGAGGCATCTCATTTACGAGTATATGCGCATACTTTTAATGCATAATATAATGTGACAGATAGATTATACCTAATAAAATTAAATGGTAATGTAGCTATATACTCCGGTTTAATATTATATATTAATTATTATATTTATAACTATTATACAGGGTTAGTTTCCTACGATGTTTTCCCTATGGGTATTTCGGAAACTACTGGAGATAGAGAGTCGGTTAAATCGGGAATAAATAGCAGTTTTGTGGGATCATAAATATGCGCCTTTCAGATTTTTAAAAAAGTTCATGGCTTATGTACTAGATATTTAAAAAAACAAATTTTGGCTATTTTAAAAATTGTCTCAATTCCATTATAATCTATATATTTTAGACAATAAAAATTCAGATAAAAGTTGTAGATAATCACATCCCTAATGAGTTTGTCTTCTCTGATTTTTTGTAAAGCCTGTCATTTTTGAGATATGACACAATCATGTTTCTTTTAAATGGAAACCATAGTTGGCCATGACTTCATAAAAAGCGCCATTTTTTAAGCTTTTCAGCGATATAAGCTATAATATGTTTTTTTTTCGAAAAATTACTGAGTTATAGCCAATTCTTATCATTTTTAAACAATTTCACATAGTTAGCCATGGAAACAAGATCAATCGTCGTGAAATGTGAAACTGTCACTTCCAAACTTTGTAAGTTAAAATAAACAAAAATTGTAAATATACATTTTTCAAATGAAGAAAAGCGTGGAGGATTTTTGGTTCAACTCTTCTTGGCCATACCTTTTCGAGGATACTTTGACCGATGAACGTTACTTACGTTTTCTAGAGAACGGTTTTCAAGATATGTTAGAAAAGTTAGTTTCAAGACATGTTAGTTAAGCAGGTTTTCTTCATTTGGAAAATTCATATTTACAATTTTTGTTTATTTAATTTACAAAGTTTGTATGTGACAGTTTCACATTTCTTATAGCAACGACGATTGAACTTGTTTCCATGGTTTTCTTATGGCATGGTTTCATATTTTGTTATGATTTATACCTTTTAAAAAGACAAAATATATTATTATATTAGTAAACGGCTCTTTACAATTTACATTGCACAAACTAAAACTTAAAAAAATAATATCACTACATACACTTTAAGTTATTTTAGAAATGTTTAAAAAATCCGCCATTGTTGTGAGTACATAAATGCATCTTTTTAAAACTGAATTTCTAGCTATTCTCACAGAACGACCGGTCGACTTAATTAAACTTCTCCTGTACCGCCTCTTCGAGTGCTTCTCTTAATTCATAAGATCTTTTGTAAACCTTGTTGTTAATCATACCGCATAAAAAAAATTAAAATGGATAGGTCAGGTGATCGACGGGGCCCATGCAAATGATCCACCTCTTTCTATTCCTGAGTCTACATAATTATGATATAAATAATTTTAAACATTTCTTGCCTTGTGAGGGGGAGGGGTGTAATAATGAAAGTCATGTTGGAACACTATTCTATTAATGCGCGAGTATCTAAATTTAACTTTTTTAACATTTCAAGACATGTTAAAAAAGTTAAATTTAGATACCCGTTCTCTAAAAAAACATAAGTAACGTTCACCGGTCAACTTATCCTCGAAACTGTATAGCCAAGAAAAGTTGAACAACTCTATGAGTTGAACCAATAATCCTACGCGCTTTTCTTCATTTGAAAAATTCGTATTTACAATTTTTGTTTATTTTAATTTATAATGTTTTGGATAGGACAGTATCACATTTCTGAGAGCGACCATTGAACTTGTTTCCATGGCTTACTAAGTGAAATTAGTCAAGAAAGATAAGAATTGGCTAGAACTCAGTAATTTTGTAAAAAAAACATATTATAGCTTACATCGCTGAAAAGCTTAAAAAATGGCGCTTTTTGTGAAGTCATGACCAACTATGGTTTCCATTTAAAAATACATGTTTGTGTCACATGTCAAAAATTACAGGCTTTAGAAAAAATCGGAGAACACACATCGGAAAACAAACTCATTAGGAATGTGTTATCTACAACTTTTATCTGAAAACTTTTAGTCTAAAATAGGTTATAATGGAATTAGGGACAATTTTTAAAAGAGCCAAAATTTGTTTTTTTTTGGAATATCTCGCCATGAACTTTTTCAAAAATCTGAAAGGCGCATATTTATGACCCTACAAAACTGCAATTCTTTCACCATTTAACCGTCTATCTCCAGTAGTTTCCAAGATACCCAGAGAGAACATAGGAAACTCACCCTGTATATATGTGTAATATTAATCCGGACGGATATACGATATGGCTGACTTTATCACCTTAATATAATATTATAGGTTCTAAAATTACACGAGCTATTTCAAAAGTTTAATTAAATTTGCCGTCCCTCGATCGATATTGCAGCTGGTAAAAATCTTCAGCCGAGTTTGAATAATAGCTTGATTTAAAAAGAATCTCTCTATGTGCGATTTACTATAAAATATTTGTTTTTTTTTTTCATATTCAATAAAAAAAATTATTT